AGAGTCTAGCACCGATGGAGCGAATGCGTTTTGGTTGACTTTACCTTTTGGAACCTGCCCAGCCTTGAGGAAACGAATGGGGACGATACTAGAACTGGCTCTGGCATTAGCCCTCATTCTAGCCTGGTCGACAACGGCTGCTAACTCCTTTAGCACCTTGTTGTGGCGCCAGGTATAGCGGCCTTGACCTAGAGCTTTCTGATCGTTGGTCACGGCACCAAATATCCACACACTTGTGGCACAGTCGTGCCTATACATCCCCCAAGAAATAGATGTGCCTAGTTCGGCCAAGGGTGAATGAATATAGTTTGTAGCTCTCTTCAATCGTATTTAAGAACAAGGCCAGTGATGTAACAATTACACAAGAGCTGGTTTATTCACAATATTCTCGTCACACAGACTTCTTAAATTCAATAAGCAATAGTATATGAATACTTCGTTATCTTGTAACTGTCTATTCTTATGTCTCTCTACGAGTTACTCAATCTCTGTTCTAGCTAAACTCCAAGTTTAACATATCCTTCTAAACGAAGTACAGCACTAGTTTTCTTCTAACCGGTTTCTCTAGCGGTCCAGCCCTAACTGTCCTCTCAAGCTGTTCCGGGGCTAACTGACTTCTGAAGCCCTTGGCTCTGACTGTATTCTCCCGCTTTCCCGCTCTTTCTGGCGTACCTTCTCCATCACTCTCCTGTCACCTGTCGTTGGTGGTCACTTTTGGATGAACGTATCTCTTCAGCTGGTCACAGTGCATATGCTTGCTCACGGGCACTCGTCGAATGTTTCATCCCTCACTGTCAGATGTCATGGCTGTTATCGTGTAGATGTTCTGCATAGCTGGCTAGGCCATGGCTTTCTAATCACCCATTTCTGTCATTTCACACAGTGATGGATTAGTACGCCGTGTGGTGGTCTGAAATGTATGCTTTGTTCATTTAACCCCTTTCTGCCTATATTTCATTACAGAGTGGGTACCGGGTGCAGCCCCGAGAAAGTAAAGGCGGCCGGCCTGATGCTCATCACAACACCTATCTTGTGCCATTGGTCTTTAAAATATAGGAAAGGCCTGGAAAAGGGTCCTTTACTTTTTTTTTTTAACTGGCGACCTTAACAAGCATTAAGAATCTCCCGTTGTCATAGCGCACTTCAAAGACCAAACATCAAATAAATTCGCTTACATTAACGAAAACAATGCAACTACTTCAGAGCCAAACTTGCATCAATTAAAAAAAAACTAAAAATTCAGAAAGACAACATAAAGTAAGTTAAAAGTAAAAGTCAAGTAAAATTAAGGTAAAAGTAAAGGTAAAGTAAAAGTGAAGTGAACATAAAGTACAGTAAATGTATAGTAAAGGTAATGTTAAAGTGCAAGTAACATAAAGTAAAAGTAAAGTAAATTAAACGAAAATTGGAGTAAAAGTAAAGTAATGTAAAGTAAAATAAAGAAACTTTCCAGCATATAGATGCTAAGGGTGTCTAGTTGGTGAATCATCGAAGTGATCTTGTTCTTGCAGTTTGCGCCTGGGCTTCGATGTGTTCCTGGTTCCATACTGACCTTGACTGCTTTTATTAGTATGCTGTTCTATACGTCGATGAAGACCCTGGCAGAAATGTCCCGCAGTTTTCTGAAACTTTCCTATCTTCTCTCTCTCTCTTTCTCTCTCTCTCTCTCTCTCTCTCTATATATATATATATATATATATATATATATATATATATATATATATATATATATATATATATTCTCTCTCTCTCTCTCTCTCTCTCTCTGTTGAGCTTCAAGTCAAAGTTTATGTTGAAGTTTGAAGCATGGACTTGTAGATTAGCTCTTTCCTTAACTTGTAAGTTTACTCTTTTGTGGATTAGATTAGCTCTTCCATTGACTTGCAGGTTAAATCTTTTGTGGATTTGTAGGTTAGCTCTTTCAATGACTTGTAGATTTTTTGATTAACTTTTGCATGTACTTGCAGATAAAATATTTCATAGATTTGTAGATTAACTATTTCATAGAAATATAGATTTACCATGTCATTGACTTGTAGATAAATTCTTGCATATACTTTTAGATTAACTCTGTCATGGGCTTGTGGAAAACCCGTTCTTTGATTTGTAGATTAACATTTGATGCTCCTGTAGTTTAATTATTTTATACAAATGTAGATATATTCTTTCACTTATTTGTAGAATGACTCTTTCATGCACTTGTAGATTAATTCTTTCATAGACATTTAGATATTTATTTTTTTTTTTTCACCTATTTGAAGAATAACTCTTTCATGCACTTGCAGATTAATTTTTTTCATGTACTTATGGAATAACTCTTTCATAGACCTCAGAGACTTGTAAAAAAAACTCAATAATGGTTTTGTAGATTATCTTTTTTTATATACTTCTAGATTACCACTTTCACGTACTTGTGGAAAAACTCTTTGATAGACTAGTAGATGGACTCATTAATTCTCTTGTAGATCAACTCTTTGATCACCAGACAGGTATACACGTTTATTCTGTTGCTCTGTAGGTTTGATCCTAGAAAGCTATCCACAAGTGCTCTGTGGGATAACGACACACACACACACACACACACATATATATATATATATATATATATATATATATATATATAGAGAGAGAGAGAGAGAGAGAGAGAGAGAGAAAGAGAGAGTCAGACATTGGAACGAACATAAAAACGCAAAATTGGACGAGTAAAATGACAATTAAGACATGATGTGTGAAGATCTTCAGACCCTTATATGGCATCACCTAACCAGATAGGCCCACACGTTCTCTAATTTAGTGTCTTTTACACATACACACACAAACAACAACAACAACAGAATAATACGGCATGATAACGTTTAACTAAACAGTTATTATTACACAATGGGTAAAAACTAACAGACCATTATATGACCTTCCATAACCAGACAGGCACACTTCTCTAATCATCAATTTTTTTTTTTTTTTTTTTTTTTTTTTTTTTTTATTGTCTTTCACAGATAAACAACAACAACAACAACAACAACAACAACAACATGATAATGCGGTATGTTAATGTTTTATTGAAAAGTTATTATTTTAAAATTTAAGGACAAGTACAGTGGCAATTATTTTCTTCTTTCAAGTAAACGAAATTAAAAGGTAAGAGTTACAAACTTCGACAATGAACTTCTCATTTGCTGCATTTGATTAACTGTCACCTGAAAATCTTGGTTCTTAGAATATGCAGATCTTCTCAAGAAAGCTGGAGAGACAGACAAACATGAACAACTTTATACGTGAGTTGGTGTCTCATACCTTGCGAGTTTTAAAGTTTTTTGTTTTAATTTCTTGTCTCGTCACTCGTATACAAAACAGTGCTGTCTGAGCGAGGAGCGGCTAGAATGCTGAACTCTCAAGCGAGATATTCCCTATTCGAATCCTTGGTAAAGCTTGCGCAAAATAAAATCCTCACCTGCACAGTCGTGGCGACAGCACTAACCATGCGGCCGTAAATCCTCAGACTCAAAGACCCCCTGCCTAACCTCAAAAGTTGTAAAATAAAGGCAGTGTTTAGCATTTTTCAGTTGTCTGAGCGCCAAACGTCACTGTCAGTTCTTTACCTGAAGCAGGAGCAGCAGGGGTCTTTGAGCGCCCCCACCCCCAAATAGCGTAAAAGAGATGGGGCCTACCGCCACTTCCCTACCCCTCTCCTCCTCTTTCCCTTATTTTCCGAACTGTGTATGTATGATTGTTTTTAAATTGGTATTTTTTCTTTTTTTACATCTTAAGCAATTTTTTTGGATGGGGGGAGGGGGTGGGGTTATGGGGGGGGGGCGCAGGGGGTTAGTAAGCACATAACAAAATTAAAGCTTTTGAGCCCTCACCAGTTGAGCTACCACCGCCACTTGTCCCTCAAATGATTGCCTGTGGCAGCCCGGTCAGGCAGTAGTTAGCCTGCCCCATGTCCCCTTATCCCCGCCTCTTTGTGCAGACACTTTAGCACCTGTAGCACGGCGGCTAAATCTTCGCCTACGTGTCCGAAGATCTTGGGTTCGTATCAACATCGGCAGGAATTTCTTACAAACTGATAGTTGCTTCCCTGACCAGCTAGCCTTGCATAGGTAAAAGGTAATGTCACGGAAAGCTAAGACGACCGGTGTAATTTTGACTTCCTCACATTGTTGGTCATATGAACTGATTGACTATTTACAAACTGTCATCACAGCACATCGGGCATACCCATAGATGACCCGTCTCCCGCAGTAAATATCTCAAAACTGTAGATACTTGCTGGTTCCGTAGCGATTGATAATATACACGTCGTTCTCTTGCTCTCATAATTCCCTCCTTGCTGAATTCACATCCAGTAACCTCATACACGCATTCTTACAGATATTATTTTGTCTAGCCTTGTGTCTTTTGTCAGCATTCGTTCATAAATGGTCTTTTGAATATCTCCGTTTGTCCAGAACAAGTGTTTTTGTAAATATCGCTTGTGTACAACTGCGGCTCAGGAATCCACACAGGGAACACCTAATTCTATCAGACACAGTCCATTGTCCAACATGCACTAATCTACCCAGGTATAGATCAAAACTGTGTCAACCCAGCCGTATATAGGTACCAGGAAAAGTCTTGGAAAGTAAAGGTGGCTGATGCGATTCTGATCACATCGCCCACCAAATGCCAATTGGTCTATAAAATAAAGGTCTAGCCCTATAAGCACAAAGACATGGAAATGTCTATAATTATCGCTTTGCCACTTACTTCAGAAACTCTTCTTTAGCGTTAGCTCCGTCATTGTCTAAGTCAACCAGTCTGAAGATTGCATCCACATCAGCGGAAGTGACGTCTCCACTTTTATCAAGGTCGAAGAAATTAAACAAGAAGTCTTCTTTCCCTGAAATTGAAGAACAAAACAATAACCTCCGTGAAAAAAAAAATTTTTACATCTATCAGTTAACAAACTGAGTGACTGGCGTTGGCGACGAGGGGGATACGACGAATAACTGCCACCCAGTGTTTAGCTGTGGGACCTGTCTTCATTATTATAACAAATATCATTAACATCATTATGTGCAGTGTCAATAAGTGCAGGCTGCTATATTTCACAACCTCATGTCACCACCAGAATCATGGATAAGGTCAGTGTTCTAGTCTGGCCCCACCCACATGCATAAACACTTCAGGTATTTGCCTCTTAACTTTCCACTTCTCACATACATGAATACAACATTTATTTATTCCATGACGAAATTAGGCTTAATATCTAGGAAAAAAGAAAAAGGGAGGGGGCATTACTATCGAAATCATACTTTTAAAAAGTATATTTAACATTTCCGGGCTCATCAGGGTCAGCTCCGCCCACCTATGCACTTATCAGTGACGGAGTCCGCTAAGGACATTGTTCAGGACACTGTGTTCAGTCTCCACCCCTAACATTTGAGATGCGTAGGGAAGAGTGGCAGGGGTATCAGCTCTGTCGACGCTCCTACGGACAACGACTCGTGCTAGGTATTAGAGCATGTGAGCGCTTCTAACGAACGCATAACATGTAAAACTGGCCATAATGCCAAATCCCCGTCCCGGCACATTTTTTACTGTTATGGTTTTTCTAGGCAAGTTCATGTCCAGTAGTTTGCCACTGCTTTCTAGAAGGTCAGGCTCTCGATCTTCTTTTGTCAAAATCTGCTTGTGCCGCTAGGCGTCGCAGTCTATCAGATGATCGGCAACCGAGCCAGGGCGCGCTCAGTCGCTTCATATGCCGTGATGTTATGGAGTCTCAAGTTGTTCGTGACTCCTTCAATCCATATTTTTCTTGGTCTTCCCCTGCCTCTTGTTGTTTCGATTTTCATGTTGTATGCTCTTGATGCTGGCATCGTTGGTTCCATTCTCATTAGGTGACCAAACCATTTCATTCTTTGCTTCTCAATAAATTTAACGATGGGTATGGTTCCAATAGTTCTTGTAATCACATCGTTTCTCACTCGATCTCTTCTGGTTTTATTCGCAGCCCATTCTCAAACATCTCATTTCACATGTGGTTAGTCAGCTTCTCTATCTCATTTCACATGTGGTTATTCTCTTGTGTTCTTTTGTTAATGTCCAAGTTGACATGATAACCTAATGTCGGTATAAGATTGTATTTATAATTTGGTCTTTTTATCTCAGCTGGGACAGCAGGGTGTTTAAAATTGGGGCAAGCTGGTATGCGACATTGTTGGCTTGTTGGATTCTTGCTTCGATCTCTCTGTCTATTTTACCATTGGATGTAAAAGATACTTCCCAGGTATTTAAATTCTTGCACTGTTTTAGGCTGTGATCTAGAATCTTTATGTCGATGGTCTGTTGCTCTCTACTTATGCTCATCACTTCTGTCTTTTCAGTATTGATCTTCATATGATGCTTGAGGCAACTGTCGTGTAGTAGGTTTATGTGGTCTTGCAGCTGTTTACTATCACTGTGAAATATGCATTGATCGTCGGCAAAGAGCAGCTCATTGAAGTCCTCCTGTTTATCGACATCTGTTGATGTTATGTCTAATTTATTAATATTGTCCATAAATATTATGAAAAGTAAAAGTGATAATACACAACCTTGTCTCACTCCTGATGTTACTGGGAACCAGTCTGTGATGCCAGCTCTTGTTCTAATGGCGCTTTCACTTTGTCTATTCTTTTCTTTTGTCAAAATCTGCTTGTGCCGCTAGGCGTCGCAGTCTTTCAGATGATCGGCAACCGAGCCAGGGCGCGCTCAATCGCTTCATATGCCGTGATGTTATGAAGTTTCAAGTTGTCCGTGACTCCTTCAATCCATATTTTTCTTGGTCTTCCCCTGCCTCTTGTTGTTTCGATTTTCATGTTGTATGCTCTTGATGCTGGCATCGTTGGTTCCATTCTCATTAGGTGACCAAACCATTTCATTCTTTGCTTCTCAATAAATTTAACGATGGGTATGGTTCCAATAGTTCTTGTAATCACATCGTTTCTCACTCGATCTCTTCTGGTTTTTTGCAGCCATTCTTAAACATACCACTGTGGTTAGTACTTTCTAAAATAGCCCTAAACACAATAATAATTGTTCCATTTCCGTAGTTTACTTTCCATCGAAAGCTTTTCTATCGAAAGCTTTTTCTTGATCTATGAAAGCGATGTTCATTTGATGTCTGTGTTCTATTGTCTTTTCGCTAACTTATCTTAAAGCAAAAATAGCGTCAGTACACCCTCTTCCTTTCCTAAATCCGACCTGTGATGGGCTCAGGATCGGTTCTACAACGGATCTAATTCGTTGTTCCAGAATTTTGGCAAACATTTTTCCTACGTGGCTTAGAAGGGAGATGCCTCTGTAATTGTTACAATCTTGCTTATTGCCTTTTCTTTTCCAAATTGGGACTATAAGGGCTCTTTGCCAGTCTATTGGTACAGTTCTTTCATTCCAGGCTTTCCTAAATATGTGGAGTAGCCAGGTGACTCCAATTTCTCCACAAGCCTGTATTGCCTCGGCTGATATTCCATCAACACCTGATGCCTTGTTTTTGGGACTGCATCTGATTGCTTCTCTGACTTCTTGTTCGATTATTGTAGGTTGTTCCTCGTTTGTACATCTGGGTGTGAATGGTACTGTTTCCTCATTTCCTGTTACATTCAGAAGAGTCTGAAAATATTCTTTCCACCTTTCTCTGATCTTGCCCTCCTCATGTATGGGTTTGCCTTGACTATCATTGACATATTCAGATGGCTGGAATGGTTCATCTCTAGTCCTCATTTTTGCAATGTCGAAACCAACGCAAGGCGCAAGGCCCACAGCTGGTATCGAAGCCGGCACCCCGGCATTACGAAGCACGTTCGCAACGCCTAAGCCACAGACGCCCAAGTGAGACATTAGGAAAAACATTGCTACGAGAAGCTAAAAACCTTGGGCCTAACTCCATGTTAGAAGTCGATACATTTGCATGCGGTAGAGCGGAGTGGAGCAATCGAATGAGAGCCCTATATGACGTCTAACGGCTTACGAAGGATGATGATGCTGAAATAGCCTCAGCCATATGTAGTACATGATCTCATAGAAAGATAATGATTCAGTTGAACCTGGTGTATTCTCATGCAGAAAAAAAAAGCACATATTACGAAACATAATGGCCAAACCTTTCAATCTAGGCTCCACAGCAGAAAGTGCTTCTCTCGCTTCATCAACGGTAATGCGTGTGTCATTACTTACATCGATTCTCTGGTGACATTTCAAACAGAGAACATGAAAATGTTACATAGGAACTTCCGAACAGGCTTTTGGAAACAGCGAACTCCAAGACACACAGTAACAGCCATAGGCGCTGGATTATGGCGGCTCAGCAGGTCCCTTAACTCTTCTTCCTTATGAACCCCCTCCCCCCACCCCCACCCCATACAACACTTATTGTGTGTGTGTGTGTGTGTGTTTGTGTGTGTGTATATATTTCACCATCATCATCATAAACCACTTCTGCCGTTATGCGTCCTTGCGAGGAAAAATTTGCTGTCCAGTGCACGTTGGCTGCCACTGGCTTTTGTCACGCTGTGAAGGCGTAGAGCGTCTTTAATGTTGTCGATCCATTTTATCCTCTGCCTTCCTCTTGCTCTTGTAGCTGATCTTCTAAGACCTAGTGCTTGTGATGATATTTGATCTTGCTGCATTCTAACGAGATGGCCAAATCACTTGATCTGCTGTTTCTCAATGAATCTAGCACAAGGTGCCGTTCTCACAATTCGCCTGATAGTTTCATTATTCACTAGATATAGGATGGTTAGATTGGCTGCTTTGCTCAGGCATCTCATCTCGCAGGTAGTTATTTTGGCTTTAGATAGTGTCCATTTTTGGCACTGGTAGCTTAATGTTGGAATGAATATGCTGTTAATAATCTGTCTTGTCTTTGTATATTTAATTTCGTCAAATACTCAGGACCCAGAAGAAGAAAATATAATCGTTGAGATCCTACATGATCTATGCACTTCTTGCTCATAAACAAAATCACGTCTCTTTTAATGAGGTGTTTTGGCCATATTTAACGTCGTAATGGATTAGCAGAAAAGGTGAGGGAGGATGCATTTTCCGGACAAAGATGAAGAGGCTACCCTTGATACTGAAAGACAGAACAAGACTTCTACTTTTTCTGCCTTTTGAACCCCCAATGGAGCATAAGCCCTCAACAAACAAAACTTTCTATCCTCCCCTATCTCATGAGGCTATCCCCATGCCCACCCCATTTTTCTAACTTTAATCTCCAGCTCGATTTTCCAAGTGTTTTTGTCCTCCTTTATTTCTATGCCCCTGTGGGTTCTAAAGATTTCTAGTTTTATCGTTCTAAGGTTTTCTGAACGTGTGTCCTGTCCAACGTAAGCGTATTTTCTTCACCTGTTGGTCCACTGGAATTTGTTTAGTTCTCTCTCTTCTCTCTCATATCATTTAATTCTCTCTGCCTTGGCACAATTTTATCACAATAGTTGCTACCCATGTGAGTGGGGTAGGGGGGGGGGGAGTGAGTGGTCTCGAGATATGGTATATGCCTCGAGTACTGAAGGTCCCGGGGTAAGTAATTTCCCCTGGTCTCTGGGTAGTAAGATAGGACGCCCGTGTGTATTCTTGCGCCCGTATAAAATCTCTTGGAGGTTAAAAATAAAAAACGGCGCCGCCCAGGTACAATTTGGAGTTTAAAATCTACCTGTACACTATTTCAGGATAGGCTGAACAACAACAACAAAAAAATGTTAGATCTTCGCAAACATGAGGGCAAGAAGAGGATTACATAGGTAGAATAGGTTACTTACTTTTGCTACATCATCTGCTTCTGTACGTTCCACCTTGCCGTTCTTGTTTAAATCGATTTTGTCAAAGAACAGCAATAAAGTCTCCTTGTCGCAAAAGGTCAAGGCTGCTGCTGCAGGCAGTAGGATGAGGCAGGCGTACACCAGCATGATACAGAGCAGACCGCGGGGTTACCTGGGAAATTGGCAGACAATGATTAGGCTTCTGTTTCTACTTCTTCTTTCTTCTTCTTTCTTCTTCTTCTTCTTCTTCTTCTTCTTCTTCTTCTTCTTCTTCTTCTTCTTCTTCTTCTTCTTCTTCTTCTTCTTCTTCTTCTTCTTCTTCTTCTTCTTCTTCTTCTTCTTCTTCTTCTTCTTCTTCTTTTTCTTCTTCTTCTTCTTCTTCTTCTTCTTCTTCTTCTTTTTGGCATGAGAAGCACACTGGATGCACACGAAGTCCTGTTAACCAGCATAGGACTGGTACTATTAACCGCACGACGCTGATGAATATGTTAAGAGGGGAATCTGAGTGCCTGTGGTTGTTTCCGGAGTGCTGTGAAAATAATCTAACTCATTACACATAACTCATAACTCTTCTTCTTCTTCTTCTCCTCCCCCTCCCCCTCCTCCTCCTTCTTCTTCTTCTTCTTCTTCAAGGCTGGGTTGACCAGGGAGTCGAGGTCATTTTGGAAAAAAGTCCAGCTTCGCACCTTCCGATCATCTCCAAGCGTCTAGCCGTTCTGCGACTCCCTAACCTTTATAAGTAACATTCAATATTTAAAGTACTGAGTTATCTGTTGCTGAAGGGGTTAACAGCGGCTGACAATTGTTGATGATGATTAAGGCGGCGATTATGGTGATTTTTGTTCCAATGACAGAAAATAATTCAGGATCCTTTCATGCAATAATATGTTACATAAGGCTTGCCCTCTATTCCTCCAATGCATTCTATCAGATGCGATCAGTTCAATATCATGGATGGAGTCCAGTCCAGCAGCTTTGGCATCTCTCATCAACGTCCTTGTCTCCCTAATCCCTTTATTTCCCATTTCAATGTCTGTTTGGTGATTCTCTGCCGGTTTCTCTTGCGATGTGTCCAATGTAGCGCCATCTTCTCTGTCTTATAACTGTTAATACTAGTGGTTGCCCAGCCATTTCTTTTATTTCTTCACTCTTTTTGTATTCATCTCATTTTATTTTAATCATTGTTCTCAGTCATTGTTTTATACGCTCTTAACTTTCCTTCCGTGTCTTTAGTGGTTCTGAAACTGTCACTTGCATTTATTAAAAGATAAATAACATAAGAAGTGAAAATACGTAAAGTGGTTTTGAAACTGTACAATTTAGAGTTCCATATTTTTTTAAGCTATTAAAAGCTATGATACCCCGACAGTCAATAATTTCTTTCTGTATATTTCTTTCACTAAAAAAATTACAACCTAAATAAGTATATTGATTTCGGGGAATACGACTCATTAAAAAAAGAGAGAGAGAGGGAGTGAGAGAGAGAGAGATGACGATGATGAAAACTGTTGTTACTAGAACTAACATAAAAAAACTGTTTCTTGTAGTTGGAAGCTAGAACACACAACGGACAATACGAACCTGTGATAGAATTTAGATCTGTCTGTGAAACAGCCCGCAAACGCTAGTGTTATGACAGCTCTAGTCTCTATTCTACTCTAACTTTTATATACTTTAATAATAATTGACTTAATATTGAATGCAAGGAAATGTTATTCTAAACGAGAAGATACAAGGATATTATTAGGTTTCTCGTAAACACTTTTGTTTTGTGAGGAACGGTAGATAGTTATCTCCCTGCCTACTCAAATAATATTCAGAAGTATTAAATAGTTTAGTATTCATAGAAAAAATGATAAAATGTTTGCCTATCTGCCAGCGACATCAAGATAAGAACTGGTATGTTAATTAAATGATGTTTTGGACTGTGCATTATTGTTGTATAAAATATTTTGTCGTCAGTGCTAGGTGGTCATGTCTCGCTATCTCTCATGATGACCAGAATCATGAATCAGGTCAGTGCATTTTTCTTCTACATGTAGATAAGTGGACTGGTACGTGACACTCTAACCTGAGCTAAAATTACCCGGGAAGGCTAACCCGGTCAACAAATTCCTGCAAAAGACGAATTTGTCGACCGAAAGGGGCAAATATCGCAGCCAGGCTGTAAACGGACACAACGCAATCAAATCAAGGAATGGGCGCAGACGAAGAAGAAGAAAAAAGGCTCACAGTTTCTATAATCAAACTAATTATTGCCATAAAAACACAATTGAAACTTTATAACGAAGTAAATGAATATGTTTTTTTTTTTTTTTTTAATGAAAATGTTAGTATCTAGCTGTCAAATTTGTATACATAAATTATGAAACAATTGCTTGTGCTAAGATAAGGTAAATAAACTGCGACATAGCATATTATATTCTTCCTCAACCCCTTCTGGGATGCAATTTTTCGTTATTTTGAAGCCGGGTCCTGGCTCTGTGTGGTGTCCTGGTGGGTAAATTTTACTCACTTTTTTGCGACTTAGCTGGAAACTTCTACACTTTAATTTTAGTCCATTACATGCAACATTAAGGTCCTGTTTTTGTAGTTCCGTAAATTGTTTTCAATTCTTCTTCTTTATAGTCCTAGTGGTTATGCGGTAATGCCTCGCAAAAACAAGCCAGGCGTAGTTTCTTATCTTTAACTTGCAGTTTCGTTTGTGCTAGTAGCATTTTCCGTTTCTTATGTGTTTATTATTTTCTTTAAACATCTGTGAGAAATATCAAAATAAAAACAAATTTGGTTACGTTGTCTTTCAATACACTGAGACATTAGGAATAGTATCTTGACTGCAAGTCATTGCGTTCATAGACATCCATACTGTACTTAATATTAAAACTGGTGAGATGGTTTTATTTTCAGACTTGTCAAACTTAAATAATAAAAAGAACACCACAAGAAAGCTTGCAAAGCAGGGGTCCACTGATCATCAATACAAAGATCCCTCTTCGACGTCTGAGTCGGCCCATTACTTTCTATACTATTTCGGAAGGTGGGCAGACTTGGGTCGTAAAACCAGGTCTCGATCTTCACCTGCTCCACTCAATCGGACTCTCGGACAGGGACAAGACGATATGGTGACTGTGCACCTGGTATTGTGAAATTTGGTGTTATATTCGTAGCTGCGGTAGCAAATTAGCCGTCTACCTTCACGTAATAATACTCGTATGATTTTTTTTCGGGGGGGGGGGGGGGGTGCACTTAAGTCTGTCAACCTTTCAAACAGTAATGTCAGTTAGGTCATTAGGAATCGTAGGTCCAACTCCATAGAAAACACGTCACCCACAGCTGCTCGCTTCCTGTGCCAACTAAACCCCCACATACCTATCCCTAGTGGGGAAAAAATGACACAAACTACAGACTCGGCAAATTCAATAGCGTTCGCACGCATTAAACGCATAAGTCAGTCGTCAGAAGGGCAGACACAAACAGTCAGACTCAAGAATAGCAGTTCGTCATTGATGAAAGCAGCAGTTGACATAGATCAGTAGTTGCACACTGCTAGAATAAGATGTGGTGTGGTTTTGGTGATAGCATTCGTGCTTGCGCGAGGCGCTCGGCAAACATTATTAAACTTGAGTTAGTTAGTTAGTTAGTTAGTTAGTTAGTTAGTTAGTTAGTTAGTTAGTTAGTTAGTTAGTTAGTTAGTTAGTTAGTTAGTTAGTTAGTTAGTTAGTTAGTTAGTTAGTTAGTTAGTTAGTTAGTTAGTTAGTTAGTTAGTTAGTTAGTTGGGTTATCGTCATTGCACTCCGGACATGTCCATAGGTGCTCAGATCCTCCCCTCAGTATGAACCCCAACGTCCGATGGCTAATAGTACCAGTTCTATGTTGATTAACAAGTCTTCTGACGTGTCCGGTGTGCGCCTCGTTTTTTGCTGTGCCGATCTTAATTCCCAAGTCTGCCATTCTGGCGAGTGATGTGGATTCACTGCCACCAAAGTCCTCTATCCTTCCCATTTCTCTGAGGGCATTGATAATATCAGCATGATCCATAGGCCGACCGTCGGTAGTGATAGCGGATCCAGCCAACCTGTCAGCTCTTTCATTTCCATCGACGCCTGCGTGTCCCGGAACAAAAATAAAGGTGACTCCACGCACAGTGGACTTCTGTAATGATTCAAGCCATTGTCTTCACACTGAACCTGCCTGAACCCTCCGGATCATACTCATTGAATCACTGAGTATACATATGCGGGTGTATTTTTGTGTTTCAAGCCAGGCAAACGCTTGCGTCACTGCCATCACCTCCATCGTCATGCTGCTGGTTGTCATGGAGAAGGCACCGTTGGCTTCTTTGACTGTTTTGCCCGCTGAGCGTGCTGTAAATGCCCATGCGCTTCTTCTTTGGCGTATAACGGATCCGTCTGTATAGATTAGTGCATCTGCTTCGACTGAATTTTCACCGATGAGAGCGTTGACCTCTGCATTAACAGCAACAGGACTCTCTTCTCTACATCGCCTGTTGAGTGTGACAATACAGGAAAATATTAAATATTAAAATATTAAACTTGAGTAAGGAGATCCAAGTGCGTTGTTTCAAAACAGGAGAATCTAGACACAACTCTCACCTGAATGTTGATGCAAAAATGTAACCCCGAAAACATGAATCACATGTCTTACAACATCGGAAACAAAACGAACAATAAAATTGGACACACACACGCACGCACGCATGCACGCGCGTAGCCACACACAATGGACCCAGTGCAAAAAAGACAATCACTGCCAAAATCAAGATCCGCAGTCAGGATGACCAACAGACGAAGAGAAGCCCAATCCGGACCAGACGAGTAAATTATGAGACCTGTTCTGTGATAACTGAGCTTTCAAAGTACATGAAGCCAGAGGTCAGTGTAGTCCAAGTCCTTATACAAACAAAACAAAAACTCGACCACGTTTAACCTGTTGCTAGCAAGCCCAAGCCGCCAACAGTCTCTGGTTATTTTTGTGGTCTGGTTTATTTGCCCCACTTCCGTAGCTAATGTTCTGATAATTGCGCCAGTTCTCTGGCTAAGTACTTCTTTCTCTCAGTCAGACCGCTCGCTTTCCGGTGTCCAATTGTGTTTCTCCTCCCCTTCTATTCCTGATTTTTTTTTCTTCTT